TTTGGCGAGCAACTAATTAGCAACAGAATATCCAGCAGTTTTAAACATCTGCGTGTGAATTCGAAACATCTACTATTTTTTAGTGAGTAGAGGGGTAGTATCTGAGGTTAGGGGATGATTGTAGGATACTCTTATCTGCGTTTTTGGCGAGCAACTAATTAGCAACAGAATATCCAGCAGTTTTAAACATCTGCGTGCAAATTCGAACCGTCTACTATTTTTAAGTGAGTAGAGGGGATGGATCTGAGGTTAGGGGATGATTGTAGAATACTCTTAACTGCGTTTTTGGCGAGCAACTAATTAGCAACTAAATATGCCGCGTCTATTTTCCACCTACGAGAATTTTCCGATATCGTCCTATTCTGGGGTGGTTGCAGGGATGATCTGGAGTTAAGGGTTGATAATTAAATACTATAAGCAACGCTATTTTGCAGCAACTAATTAGCAACAAAATATCCAGCAGTATTAAACATCTGCGTGTGAATTCGAACCATCTACTATTTTTTAGTGAGTAGAGGGGTAGTATCTGAGGTTAGGGGATGATTGTAGAATACTCTTATCTGCGTTTTTGACGAGCAACTAATTAGTAACTAAATATCCCGCGTCTATTTTCCACCTACGAGAATTTTCCGGTATCGTCCTATTCCGAGGTGGTTGCAGGGATGATCTGGAGTTAAGGGTTGATAATTAAATTTTTTAAACATCGCTATTTTGCAGCAACTAATTAGCAACGAAATACGCCGTAGTTTATATTCTCTGATGAGCTCTTTTTAATTTTATCGTATTTCGGGGGTAGTGTGGGTGCTGGTGCGGCAATTAAGGGATGATGGGGGGATAATACAAATAATGCTGTCCTACAGCAACTAATTAGCAACTAAATATGCCGTTTGCAGAACTTCGATATCTTTACGAGAACCGAAGATACAGTATTGTGGTCTGCTAGGTTAAGACTTAATCTAGCAGATCGCATGTATCTTTTACAGGTGTTGATCAACTAAATCGGGAATAGTGTAACTAATTAGCAACTAATTAGCAACTAAATATGCCGTTTACAGAACTTCGATATCTTTACGAGAACCGAAGATACAGTATTGTGGTCTGCTAGGTTAAGACTTAAGCTAGCAGATCGCATGTATCTTTTACAGGTGTTGAGCAACTAAATCGGGAATAGTGTAACTAATTAGCAACTAATTAGCAACTAAATATGCCGTTTACAGAACTTCGATATCTTTACGAGAACCGAAGATACAGTATTGTGGTCTGCTAGGTTAAGACTTAAGCTAGCAGATCGCATGTATCTTTTACAGGTGTTGAGCAACTAAATCGGGAATAGTGTAACTAATTAGCAACTAATTAGCAACTAAATACCCAGTAGGTTAGATGTGCGCGTTGCGACCATGGTCTGCTAGCTTAATATACGTTCCGATAATATGTTCCCAGCTTAACGTTGCCATCTAACCTGCGCTCTCGACTGAGAAACAAATGAAAATACTGTTTCTCATGTATTTATTCTTATATTATTTCTTCATTCATCATTTAGTAGTGAACTCGTTGAGACGCTTTTTTCATATTTCTCAATTGATACTCTTTATTATATGAGCTATTTAACCGAAATTTAGAATTCTTGGATAAAATACACACATCAAAAGTGTCTAGGGATATATTGTCAACATATATTTTTGCAATAACTTTTCTCCTGATTGATATTAATTAAAATTTTCTTTAAGGATTCATCAAATAAAGTGTTTTCGTTTGTCACAGTAACGATAAACCAAGTCACCTTTGCATTAATAAAGAAATTTGCCATTTTCCTAATAAAGGGATTTTTGACATTTGAACCACTAACACAAAAGTTCGAAAAAAAGACTGAAATCACAGTTTTCTCTAAAATTTTATTGGGTAACTTAAACAATTAATAATCCGTATTTCTACCGCGAACACTAACAACACAAGAACATCGGTTTGGCATACTCAAAATGAGTTCATCCAAATCACGCTGTGGAATGGCCGCCCATGTTCGTAGCAACAACAAAAAAAGGTCTTCTTGCGACTGGATACCCTCCATATTCGGCAGAGCTCTTCTCTGTAGCATATCCCATGCATGCTCAATCGGGTTCAAGTCTGGCGACTGAGCAGGCCAGGGCAGGACATTGATGTTAGCTGCGGCGAGAGTCTGTCTTACAACTCTTGCGGTGTGCGGTCGTGCATTATCATGCATTAACTGAAATAAGGGACCGATTTGCACTTGTAGAGGAACGATGACGTCTGATACAATCGTCTCAGCATAAATTTGAGCGTTGAGGTTGCCTCTGATCCAAATCAACTCAGTTCTTCCGCCGATCCAAATACCCGCCCATACCATGATGGTTCCACCACTATAAGGATGGACTTCCTGGCAGGATTTTAATCGCTGTTGGCGTCTAGGGGTTCTCCAGTGTCGTATACGTCTTGTATCCGGTCTCATACCAAAACGAGACTCATCAGAAAAGCACACGAAACGCCATTGTTCTTCTGCCCAATTTCTGTGTTCAAGAGCCCATTGATATCGAATCCTACGATTGTGCATTGCTATAGGTGGTACCCGTAGCGGTCTTCGGGAATGAAGCTTCACTTCATGCAAGCGGTTTCTGACTGTTTGGTCGCTAATTAAGTTCCCTGAAGAGTGATGAAGCCTCACGGCTAACATCATGGCGGTTATTGTTGGAGCTCTTCAAGTTAAGATTTGAATGTATCGGTCTTGTCTCCGTGTGGTGCAGCGATACCGTCCTCCATGGCGCTCAGCCACGGTACCAGTGCTTCGGTATCGTGTCCAAAGTCGACTGATAACACTCTGACTTGTATTCAGAGCTAAAGCCACAGTACGTTGCCGGGAACCAGCTTCTATCATTCCCACGGCTCTGAGCATTTCTTCCCTGCTTAAATGACGTCGCCGCTCCATAATAACGTTGGTTTTAATCAGTAGTAGGGAAACAGTAGCACTAATAATGTCTTCAATGCGTTGTATGTTTTTATAGGGAAAATATTGACAGCTGATTTTCATCTTTTACTCGAATTTGATTCACAGTTCCTGATTCAAATTATGAAATGCACGAAAAAGGATCCATATAAATTTATAAAATCATAAATTTATTACAAAGCCACATCTCAATCTCAAGAAATCCGCATAAAAATGCTTGATCCCTAGACACTTTTGATGTGTGTAGTTAGAATATATATATTAGGAAAAAATGACATCGATAAGAGGTGAACTTTATCAAAAATTATTTAACACTTATAAAAAATGTTACCCGGATAAAAAATCAACAATCGTACAAGAAAATGTTAATAAGATTTGGAACGATCTCAAGCTTAAGTACAAAAGTGACGGGAAGCAATTTGAAGTGGATATTCAAAACAATATTGAATCTTTAAATGAAAAGATAACTCAGAACAAAGCAAGAAATTTAACGTTTTTTACAAGTCTTAAGGTAAGTCAAGAAGTTTTTTTGGTACCTGGTTTATATTTACTATTATATGGATTACATCAATTCTACTTGCGGTTTATATTATTTCATTATTCTGAATAATTTTTATGTGTGCATGATTTTGATATATCGATAATTAAGTTCAAAAGAAAAGAAAATTAAATGATTTCGGTGTAGAATTATAGTGTAAACGAATTTGTGTATAAATCTTTATTTTTTTTAATCAATTTCAATATATACTTATAATAAATTCTTTGTTTTTTTAGCCACAAAATACAGTCAAAGATGGTCCTCAAGCGTCGACAAGTAAAGAAGATCTTCCTAAACGACAAACAGGCTCTACTGAAAAAATTTCACCTCGTGGAAAACAAATATGCAGTTCAAAACGGCTATACCCGCCCAAGATGAAAGCAAAAAAAAAATTTCAGTTATGGAATCAAGTTTAAATTCATTACTTCTGCAAAGAGATTCTGGTTTGTCTACACCTGGACTTAATAAAGAAATAAATAATTTAAAAGAAAAAATTGAAACTGAAAAAAAATCCCTTAAACGTAAACAATTAGCTCGACAAAGATCATTGAAATCCCGTGCAATAAAAAAAAGAAAGCTTGAGGACGTTTGTCTTGAGCATCCAGATGTTGCAGAAAAATTAAAAATAAGAAGCAATCCCGGTCGGCCGAGCTTAGAAGAGGATCAACCAGACATATTGCAAACTATTATGAAAATCTTTGGTAGTTCTGCTGATGAACAGCGTAGAACTGAGATAGTAAGAAGCTGTAAAAATTTAGATCAATTACAGGAGCAATTAAAACTTTGGGTTTTCAACTGAGTAGGAGTGCTACGTACTTACGACTTTTACCACGAAATTCATTTTCTCGTGAAGGAAAGAGACATGTATCTACAGTTCCCGTGAAATTAATTCGTGCTCAAAATGATTTAAAGAAAAAACATATTGACACAGAGTTTGCGACAGCTTCAATTAGATATTTAGAGAGTCTTGCTTCTTTTCTTGGACCCAATGAAGTATTTTTCCTTTCTCAGGATGATAAAGCCCGAGTACCGATCGGACTTACAGCAGCTTCAAAACAAGCACCATTATTAATGCACATGCAATATAGAGTACCTTTTCCAGACCATGACTGGGTAGTAGCTGCTGGACATAAATTGATACCATCTGTATACGCTGGTATTGTTATTGAACCAAATGGTTTTGGAAATCCTTCAAAAGTAAGCTATTCAGGACCAACATATATAGCTATTCGGAGTGGCAAGCATTCTAGTTCGACTGCCAAGACACATGCCAATGATTTCAAAAAAATTTTTGAACTGGAATCATTCAAAAGTTTGGCCTACACCAACACTGGATTTACAAAACCAGTCGTAATCATTTCTGCTGATGGGGGTCCTGACGAAAATCCTCGCAATGGAAAAGTAATATTTTATGCTATTCAGCATTTTCGCGATTTTAATTTGGATGCTTTATTTGTTGTTACAAATGCACCAGGTAGGAGTGCTTACAATCGTGTGGAAAGAAGAATGGCTCCGTTAAGTCATGAGCTTGCTGGTTTAATATTGCCTCATGAGCATTATGGATCGCATTTAGATTGTTACGGTAAAACTGTAGATAAAGATTTGGAAGAAAAAAATTTTGAATATGCAGGTACAACTTTACCTAGTATTTGGAATTCGTTAAAAGTTGATGGTTATGATGTAAATTCAGAGTATATTGCACCAAAAGAAGATGATAGTAATAATGCACAAATATTGATTGACGATTGGTACTATGAACATGTTCGTGAATCACAATACTTGTTGCAAATTTTGAAATGCTCAAATGAAGACTGCTGTGGTCAAACTAGAAGTAGTTTGAGAAGTTTACTTCCGAACGGATTTTTGCCTCCACCAATAAAATTACAACAAACTCAGAACGGATTAAGGGTATCGCAAGTGAACTCTGATGATGGTACATATCTTAACCTATTTGCTCGTCTTGCAGTGAAACTTCAGCCTGAAGCTGCAGATTTTCAACAAATTCCTTACGATTGGTTTTGTCCGTCAGTTCACGATAAATTGGCAAGTAGGACATGCAAAGAATGTGGCATATATCACACGTCTAATAAAACCTTACTACAGCATTTAAAAAATTTACATCCAAAACGGAAAAAAAAAGATGAAGTAGTTCGACGTATACAACCAACTCGCATCGCAGCTCGACGAGCTCGAGAGCTGTTATGCATATTAGGAGATGAAAAAGCTGGTACAGAAAATGCAGAATGGATAGATGACGATGAAGTGGACGGTAGTTTTGAAAATGAAGAAGAAGATGTTGCATACCGATTATAGATATTTCAGCGCATTTACAGAATCCTTGGACTTCTGATTAATAGAAATATGATTTATTTATTTGTTATGAAAAGATATTTATTTATATATTTAAATTTTATTATAAAAACTAAATAAATATTGAAATGCTTAAAATTTGTGTACTATCAATTGAAATTAATCATACTTTGGTCAACGTTTTTGTGACGGAATATTTCAAGAGGGGTCACAGAAAGTATGACACAGCGTGACAATAGGGGAAGGGGGTCGGAAAATGCTGATTTTAGCGTGACGTATTTTATGAACGGCCCCTTATTGCTAGTTACAAACCAATAATAATAAATTATATTATTAGGTGTTCTACTCAATCGTTGTAACCATCTCCTGAGCTCTGGGTCGTTACAAAAACGACAACTTATATATATATATATATTTAATTATGTTTTGATTGTTTATTATTGTATGATTTACCAAGAGCTGTTAACAAACGAAGCATAATTGCAGTCTTAAAAGAAAAATAAGTAATAATGTATATATTACCCAAAATATAAACAAATAAAACATGTGTAATATCAATAGCAACAATAAAATACTCCTACTCACTTTCACTAGAACTATCAAAAAATTTTTCCTCTTTGTTGGTGCAGTTGCTGATTGTTCAAACATTTCAGGATAGTCTTTTTTGAGATAATATGAATAGTTAGTTAGTACCAATTATTTGCTTTAAATCATCAAGTGAATAATTAACGCGTCTGACAAAATAGTCACAGGCGCCTCTTTTGTTTTTAGTTTTTTGATGCCATCGTTATTACGGTCAACATTTTCTTTATTAATCACAGGCGTCCTAATATCAAGCAATGTAGTTTTATTAACAACGCGTGATATATTAAATATTTCTAAACCACCTGAATCAGAGTCATTAATATCAACACCAGATACAGTTGGAATTTTTGTCTTATTGGTAGAGGAATCAGGTATTTTATACTTAGATTTCTGAATGGCAGTAGGTGAATCAATCAGTTCTCCTTTGGCTGTAAAAGGGGTGAGATTATCTTTCTGTTTTTTAAATACTAAAGGCTGGCAACCTTCGGTATCGGATGAGGAACTTAGCCTAATCCGCGTTTTGGGACGTGGCTTTATCAGAAGGTGTTTTCTAGTGTCGAAACAGTCACAAAACCCTCTCAAGCCTGAGCTATTACAAAAGCAGCTCAGAACTCGATACCTTAATTCATTTGAGCAGTTTTCTGACTCGGCTTGTATCTGATGAATCTTCATGGTATATGGAATTGGCACTAAAGCTTCGAATGCTGTTTGATTTCTGCTTTTTATCTCGATGATATCAGATTCGTTAACACAGAAAAGATTCACATTTGTGTCTTCTTTGAGAACAGAGTAGGCTACTAGCCTAATCCGCGTTTTGGGACGTGGCTTTATCAGAAGGTGTTTTCTAGTGTCGAAACAGTCACAAAACCCTCTCAAGCCTGAGCTATTACAAAAGCAGCTCAGAACTCGATACCTTAATTCATTTGAGCAGTTTTCTGACTCGGCTTGTATCTGGTGAATCTTCATGGTATATGGAATTGGCACTAAAGCTTCGAATGCTGTTTGATTTCTGCTTTTTATCTCGATGATATCAGATTCGTTAACACAGAAAAGATTCACATTTGTGTCTTCTTTGAGAACAGAGTAGGCTACTGCGGTGTTCGAAATATCAATTCCGTGCGACACTTTAGCGTCTAAAAGACGCTTGATTACTCCTCCGATTCCATCAGCAGCCCCCTTTCCGTGATATGCCTCTGAAAAGTTCCAAGTTCCTTTTTCGAAGTCCAAATCTTCAAGATATAATTTAAACAAATAGAAGTTCGTTTTTTGCCTGTATTGGGTGACAGGCCCATCTGAAAATACGTGAACAGAATTAATTTCCGGATATTTTGTTTTAATATCTATCAGGATTGGTTTTAGGTGGGCCCATATTGCTGCTGGTGAATGATCTGTTGAATCAGATAGGGTGCAGTATGATTGAGGTTTCGAACCTTGAATATACATCACACTTGTGTGCAACGAAATTTGGTTTTGCGAACCGAAGTGGACCGCCTGTATTTGCCGTTGCAACGTACAGTGAGGGTTATCGGCGCCTGACCACTTCAAAAAATCTTTCCTGTGCAAGCGCTAGACGGGTGATTTTACGGGCCCATCCTGATTGGTCGTAGTATTTTACTATAACCCATTAGCATAGCTGCGCTGCGCGCTGGGTGCGCTGAATGATTGATGCATGTTACGAGTACAAGACTCGTCTACGTCACTTATACGTCACGCGTACATTATGTGTTTCCCAAGTGCAGGTGGCTCGATTGAGCAATCGTGTTGAAAAGTGCTTATTAGACAGATTAAGTTCATGTAAAACCTTCGGACAGTTTTGGGAGTTGCTTGAGCTTCAATCGTGGAAGCATCTTGACGTATAGTTTGTAAGACCTGATCATCGGGATCAATTAGTATTAGTAATTTTGTAAAACATTTAAATAAATAAAGTAATAATTTAAAGTTTAGTTTTTAAAAACCCTACCTGACGGCTCAATTCCGTAATTTGCAACAACAATGTTTATTTGTTTACTTTAGTCGCTTTTTGCTTTTGTTTGATTTACGTTTGACCCCCGCATTATTTTTGGAGTGATACCTGTTTTTACTTAACGATCGTGCTAGAATATACATATAATAAGTATAATGTCAATAAACATTATTATTATTATTATTTTTCTCTCATTTATTTCATTTCACAAGTTAGGTTTTTTTATAAAATAGATATAAAAGTAAAATACAAAAATAAATATAGTATAAAAAACCTAACCTAGAAGGCCACCAGCAGCGAAACGAGGCCCAAGCTACCGGTGGTTAGGGCCGCAGAGAAAGAAACCGCCTGACGATGCGCGCCGTGTCCAGGAGTACTGCCTTTTGCATCTGCCCCTTGACCCAACGACGGTATGTCTGAGGGATTCACTAGGCCGACGACATGCTTGACAAATGTCAGCCGTTCCGTCCCTCAGGATATATCTCCGATAATTGTTCGTCATCATGACTTCGTCAGCAATTGCACAGACAAACCCTTCGGTTTCCCCAAAGAGATCACCGAATCGTAGCCAGTTCACGGAGGCGAGCTGGTCCACATCAGGCCCTGTTAGGGCCTGATAGAACCGCCCGTGGAGCTCCTTGTTTTTCCATACTTATTATTATTATTAGAAACTGGACATTTGTTTGCATAACGTGACTTTGGCGAGAATTTGGACCATGTCTTCAAGAAACCTCTCTATACAAGAGAGGAGTCGCATAATAGCTTTGCACGAAGAAGGGCTGAATATCAGCCAAATCTCCAGAGAGCTCGGATTAATGGTAAGAAAACGTATTATTAAACTACTGTTAATTTTTCTAATAGATTGCTGATATTATTTTATTTATAGAAATACCTATATTTTTATAGATAAACAATATAATGAGTGATATTGACTAATATTTAGCTATCGAAAAAGTAACTTTGTTTTACAAACTGTCGTTTTAAAATCAACGATAAACTTAAAAACCGGCCAAGTGCTAGTTGGACTCGTGCAAGAAGGGTTCCGTGCCATTATTTATACAACATTAGACTATATTATATATAATATCGAGCAAAAAACGGCAAAAACACGTCTGTTGTATGGGAGCCCCCTTAAATATTATTTTAATTTGAAAGTGAATATGCAACTAAATATTTTGTGAATATTTCAAGCGTCTATCTGATGCCGTTATTAATATAGACCAAATTTATTTTATTCTATTTCTAGTATTTGTTGCGATAGCGGCAACAGAAATACATCTTTTGTGAAAATTACAACTGTCTAGCTATCACGGTTAATGAGAAACAGCCTGGTGACAAACATACAGATGGACAGTGGAGTCATAGTAATAGAGTCCCGTTTTTAATATTGCAAGTTAATCAAAGTCAACATGGCATCCTATTTTTAAATTATAGATAATTGCGAATATATATAGATAGTTAAAAACTCATTTTAAAAAGATAAGAAGAAAGAAATAAACGCAATATCATAAATTCTGTTTGAGATAGATTTATTTCACGGCTTGTTGCAAATAACTATTTTTATCTAAAGAAAAGTTTACTAGAAAAAAAATCCACGCGGACCAGGCAGCGGACGGGACTCGAACCCGCACCCTTCGCTATCCGGGCGAATGCACTGACCATTATGCTACCACGGCCCTATTCGCCGCGTCGAAATTTTCCTAGCCTTAAGCTGCAAGGCAGCTCCATTTCTTCGCATTGTAGGTAACCCACAATGTCAAATGAATACTTTTTCAAGTATTAAACATTTGAAAGAAGAAATAGCAATTATAGTTATGTTTTTATTTATTTTTTAAGCATTTAACCGCTAGATGTTTAAATCTAAAGAAAAGTTTACTAGAAAAAAATCCACGCGGACCAGGCAGCGGACGGGACTCGAACCCGCACCCTTCGCTATCCGGGCGAATGCACTGACCATTATGCTACCACGGCCCTATTCGCCGCGTCGAAATTTTCCTAGCCTTAAGTTGCAAGGCAGCTCCATTTCTTCGCATTGTAGGTAACCCACAATGTCAAATGAATACTTTTTCAAGTATTAAACATTTGAAAGAAGAAATAGCAATTATAGTTATGTTTTTGGGTTGTGGGTTACCTACAATGCGAAGAAATGGAGCTGCCTTGCAGCTTAAGGCTAGGAAAATTTCGACGCGGCGAATAGGGCCGTGGTAGCATAATGGTCAGTGCATTCGCCCGGATAGCGAAGGGTGCGGGTTCGAGTCCCGTCCGCTGCCTGGTCCGCGTGGATTTTTTTCTAGTAAACTTTTCTTTAGATTTAAACATCTAGCAGTTAAATGCTTAAAAAATAAATAAAAACATAACTATAATTGCTATTTCTTCTTTCAAATGTTTAATACTTGAAAAAGTATTCATTTGACATTGTGGGTTACCTACAATGCGAAGAAATGGAGCTGCCTTG